AAAAAAATAAAAAAATAAAAAAAAATGAAAAGAGAAAAAGCAAGAAATCTTTAAGATGAGCGAGACCCGCGCATTCCCGGGTCTCACGGAGATGAGTTGAGTTGCATTGTGGGCCTCTCTATGCATCCTTTGGTAATGTTGCTGAGTTCTTGCACTTTTTTGTCGTCATGGTTACCTTGCCGTTTGGACATTGGGCCTGATGCATGATAGGAGAATGTAACAATCTTCTTTGCATGCCACTTTTTAAATTAATTACGAATTTATTTCTTTTTTTTTTTTTTTTTTTTCGATATATAAATACGTATCGTTTCTTTCCGTTATACGATTCTGGTTCCTTTTGAAGTGGATTTATTCTTACTTTCCAAATTTTTGGTTCTGTTGGGTTTTTTGCTTTCTCTTGATTTCCTGTTTCTGTTTTGATTGGTTATGCTGTGCTGTAGTTTATTCCAAACGCATTGTGAGAAGCCAGTGTTCCTGCCCACCCGGTGGTACTGAACTCCTCAATCCCTGCAGGAGGAAAGGAGTCACACAGCTCTAACGCCTGTCCATGGAAGCCCTGCTATTTGGGACAAACCTTTTGTTTTTGGGGGAGGGAGGGATCTGGGAAGTGGAAAAGATGGTGAGAACCCAGGGGGTGATTCCAAGAGTTAGAGCACACCCTGGGTCACGTTATTGCTCATTTATTTCTTGAGGTGTGGCTCTTGTTCCGCCTCCTGCACGCAAAGAAAAGCCCTGACCCTGCTCCGAGGGCTTCCCCAGCCATGGGAGCTCTCACTGGTCACTGCCCAGTTCCCTCCAGTAAGAGCAGGGGCTGTCAGCCCAGCGTGGCACGGACAGAGCTCCTGCTGCTCCCAAATCCCACCTGCTCTGTCCTGGAGCACCCACGAGTGGGCAGGCGGTGCCCCAGCTCCAGGCAGAGCCTGGCAGAATCCCGTGGAGAAAGATGGACACCTCGTCCTGGGGGTGCTGGGAGGGAAGGGCAGCTGCCTCCTGGCTCTGCCTGTCCCCATTTTCCTGCTCCCTTCCCTGGGATTTATCCACTGAAACCCAGCCAGGCACAGCCAAGGCAGAGCCTCCTTCCCGAAGGAGCGTGGGAGGAGAATGCAGCTGTGCAGGCACTGGAGCAGTGCTGGGGCACATCTGGCAGCTGCAGCTATTGCAAACAGCCACCAGCAATCTGGCCAGTGACAATGGAGCTGAAAATGCCTCTTTTCCCTCTTCTCACCTCCCTGTTGATCTCCCCAAGAAGCTCCTGTTGGCTCCCATGTGTGCACCCCCGGGTGAGGCACATGGGAGTGGGAACAGGGGGTGTGCAGTGTGTCAGTGGTGCCAGTGGTGCTTGGTGCTTCCCCTGTGCAGAAGTGAATGCCAGCCCCTCCCCTGGCTATGCCTTTCCCTCTGCCCTCACCTCTCAACCAGCTACCAAAGGAGTGGCTTTCCTAGGGCACAGGTATTAAAGCTGTGTGATTTTTTTTTTTTTGAGAAATCCAGTGCAGTATTGACACAGTTATCTGTCTCTCTCTTTTTCTCTCTCTCTCTTTCTCTCTGTCTGTCCTTCTCTTTTTTTTTTCTTAAAATGCTGAGATTTCAGTGCTCGGACCCCTCAGTGCTGGTATTCTCCCCTCCCCTTCTGAGTCTCCCCCCTCCCCGTAGGCACCAGGGTCCCCTCCCAAATGCTGCACTCCTGATCATTCTCTGGGAAGAGACCAGATGTGGCTCTTCTGACTTGGATACCAACAACAGCCAAAAAAAAAAAAAAACATCCCCCAGTCCCAAGGCTCTTTTTTAAAGAAAAAAAAGGAAAAGAAAAAAATGCTTGTTCTATTAAAAAAACAAAGGAATAGCATTTGAAATTAGGTTTTCCCATCCCACCTCCCTCCTGCCTAGGACTAAAAGGTGATAATCACTCCTAATTACAGGATTTTCCTTCATGACTAGGAGTTTGAGTTTCAGGATTTAGGTGCAATTAAAAAGGGATTTATACACCATTATTTTTTATTTGTTTATTTTCTCTTTTATAAAGTATTTCTAACATGGCCAAACTGCACTGCTGCTGCTAAGAATCTCTTGTGATCTGAGAAGGGCTTGAAGATTAAATTCTTCCTTAAGAGCCAATAAAAATAGTCATGATAATGATATCAACAGCAATAAACTCAAGCTAAATGGGATGTAATCATGATAGGCTGGAATGACACTGGGTGAGGAAATAGAGACTTGAAGAGGTCGTGTGGTTTGCTAAAGTTTCAGTCTCTGAGCAGCCTGGTCTAGTGGGAGGTGTCCTGTGAGAACAGGATGGGCTTTAAGGTCCTTCCTACCCAAGCCATGGGCACGGGCTTGGAGAAGGGAGAAGGGTTTGCCTGGTGTGTTCCTACAGGTCAGATCATGCCACGCTCCAAAATTCCAGAGTGCCACCAGGGGATGCCCAG